TTCAGTGAAGTCCAGCTTTTTTGTAGCTAAAGAAGGTTTTATCCTTTATACAGTTTATTAGACTAGTTCCAAGCTTCTGCAGACAGTGTTTATAGTGTGTTGTGGTGGGGCTGGCATGTTATACAAGGGGTGTGGGAGGGCACAGAATTATTGTAATATAAACTGGACCCTAATTATGTAGCTATTTTCAGTTGATTGAAAAATCAACTGAAATGCCAATAGCAGCTTTAATCTTACAGTCTCACTCTATCACCAATCAAGATATAGGTTCTAAAATGAAAAAAAAAAAAAAAAGTCTAGTAGGCAATAGTAAAAACCTGAAAATATAATGCAAAAAATTCTTGCATTTTTTCGAAGGACGGAATTCATGACATTGTTCTTGCTGTTGTGAGGAATTTTGAAAATGCAGGAAATGAGAAGGCTGCAGCAGAAGCAAAAAAGGAATACCACACTATTTATCTGTAATCATTCACATCCGTTACCTGACTGTGACAGCCTATTACATCATATTTTTCTGAATGAAAATGAGACATTGTGATAGGAGAAAAGCTCCATGTATTACCAAGAACAGGTTAGCTACTCTTTTGACTGAGAAAACAATTGAAGACTTGGTTGAAAATAGTGCATTTTTCTCTGTGACTACAGATGTCTTAGACAATGGCATTTTCAAGGTGTTCACAATCATGAATCATTCCTACACAGTTGAAGTTCAGTGCTGACTCCTGATTATTTTCAAAGCACTAATGAAACCCCATTAAGAATATTTGAAAATGTGAAAAAATAAAGCTAAAATCAAGTATTTGGAACTTTGACTACGTGCAGGTAACTGAGCTATTTTCAGGTAATATGTTGCTTATTATAGCTTCTGTCCACAAGTCAGTGAAAAATAAGAAGGTAAAATTGTCCTTAGTTTCTTGTGCTCTATATAACCATATAACAGTAAAATACATCTAATTTTCCTCATCTTATTTCATTTCTCTCAGCCAATGTTTCAGATTTAAAGAAGAACTTATAAAATTTGAATGGGAACAATGTCTCTTGTAATTGTTCAACATGAGAAAATTATTTGCATACTGTGCAGGTAATAGGACCATATTATAATTTCTTGGTTTTAGGAATTACTTTTGGAAGCTATGTGGGCATTGTCAGGTGTCAATTTGCAATCCCATTTTCAAAGGTTACCTTACTGGAGGTGATACAAAGGTTTTCAATGACACAATGTCACTTATCATTTTAAGATGATATTGAGTGTTTCTTGCAAACAGAAGTCTTTCAAGTAGAACAATCTGTGTCTTTATATGATGAAATGTATAAGATAATGCATTAATTTAAGGTTAATTTGCAAAAAAAGTACCAATGAGAAATTCTTGGGTCGTAAGTAGCTATGCAACATTGGAAAATAATAATAATAAAAAAAAGACATTTCACACAAAGATACAGCTGCCTGAAATGAGGCCTTATATTTTCATACAATCAAACAAAAGACAAATAAACTGATTAAGTTGTACTGGGAAATGAATGCCTTTTTCAAAGTTTGGCTGCTCTGGAGTGAATGCATCCAGGCACTGTGTGAATATGTGGTAAAAGTAGGAAAATCTTGGATCTGTTCAGGTAGCAGTGCAAACCAGGTGCCATTAAGACAAGCGCACTTAGTGACAGAACACTTTTCTATACATGACTTCAGTATTTCATGTTTTATAGAACATGTTTTTAGAACATGTTTTACCTTTTTTGCTGCTGGGAAGAAAGCTTGTTTAAAATGTTGCTGTTTTTCACTTCTTCCTCTGTTCATTGTAGTAGTCAATAGTTGCTGCCAGCAAAAATAAAGGGAGAAGGAAGAATTAGAAGGTTATTAACAAAGTGGCTGGTGCAGTGGTAGAACAGAACACGAAGAATATTTATAGAGTCCTAGGATGTTGTTTCATGTGTGGCATCACATCGCTGAAACCCGATGTCCTGCCTGAACTCTTTAAGTGTAGTCGCTACGTTTTGTAAAGATCTAAAATGGCAGGTATTAGCTAGCAAGTGAAGAGTATTACTTTCTTGCATCATAAGATATTGACCTGTCTGTAAAACCAACATAGAAACCTTTCTTCTGGCAGTTTCTTGTTGGATGCTGTGTGCTGGAGATCACTGTTCCAGCTCTGTGCAAAGCAGCATATGGGAGCTGTTGGCTTCACTGGGAATGAAGTATGTGTTGTCAGTGAAGATAGAGGTAATTTTCTGAAGTATGCGTAGACTTAGAACCATTGGAAGTGGAGAATTGAGTGCCAGCTTCAAAAGTTACTTATTTGCTTGGTTAAAGAATGAAGAAATTCCCAAGATTAATGTAAGGGATGTACTGATACAGCATTCACTTCTAAAAGGAATTAATGGTGAGAATCTCAATTCAGATATTAAATGGAAATATGTGTTTATTTTTCCTGGAAAAATTTTGGTTTTGTAATTTGTACATTCTGACTGAGGACTGTAAATACTTTTTTAAAAAACAGGGTTAAAGTGTTCAAAAAGTCAATGCAATTAAATTCAACCAACTTTAATGACTTTTAAAAATATTGCTTTGTTTTTTATCATTTCACTTTGTCAAAAGAAATATGCAGGGTTTTTTTCAGAACTAATTAACTCAGAAGATCTGGGAACCATTTAATTTGAGTTGAAATTTTTTTATTAAGGCAAATGGAGTGGCCCATTCTGCAGGTATTTTGAATAATGATCATTGGTGGCACATTCTATTTGCAGCAATAAATAATGAAGATGCAAAGTGGGAGTTGGGCAGTGGTGACCAGTATGATGACCGTATTTATAGGCTAATGTAATCCACTTAGCCGGAGTAGCTTACTGGAATAGAAACTACAATGCTACATTTATACTGCTCCTGGGGCCTACTTTGCTCACATCTAGCTGCAGTACTTTCTCAGGGTAATGTATTGAGGAGCTCAGGGTCTTTCTTTTCTTTGGCAGGGTAGAAATACTGAATATCTTAAATCCTAAAAATCATTAAATATGCATTATATACTAGAAAAGAATTATGGTTACTCCTAAATTTAGTCAAAATGAAGCATTCATATAAAATAAGCTCAAATGTGAATATCATGCAAAAACTTATCATGTGAAAGCACTGTCATTAGCCAGCTGTATACAAACGGTCTTTGGTTCTATAAATACAGATTCTCACATGTGAGCTAGTAAAAGCAACTCACTCAGCATTTGGAGAAACCCATAGACATGTCTGGCATATTCCTCTCTACAGAAGCTGAATGTGCCAAACACTTGTCACTAGACTTTCAAAGGCTAAAATGCAGTTGACTTAAAGAAAGAAGATAAGTGCTCTGGCATCTAAAACCTGATGCATTAAGGATGTTCTTTCTGAATAACAGAGATACACTGCATCCATTACATTACATCCTTCAGATCAGTGGAGATGTCATCCATATGAAAGAAAAGTCTCTTCAGATCTGTCATCTTCCCTGCAAAAATAAAGCTAATAATACAATTAGAAATAGTAGTGAGATAAGCTATGAAGGAAAATTGTCCTTATTGTCTTTGGTGGCTCTGTTTTAATTCCTGACGTGATCTGCTACCTGGTGTTTGGATACCTGCCAGCACCACTTATGCACCTTTTGATCATTTATCATCTAGAGATGTGAGGCCCAGAGTGTGTTTTGGACTTGGATTACAGTGCCAGTGAATTGGGTTTCCTGGTGTTATAACATCAGCTTTGAAGGGATGGCTTGCCAAAAATGTAATAGCACAGGAGAAACAGGTGGTTCTTAGCAAAAACACTGTCCTCAATTCTGACGGCAAGCTCTACTAACTGTCTATAAAGAAAAAAACCCCCAATACTACTGTATTGAAACAATAGACTGAAAGCAGTGAAATAAAAGCAAATTCAGGGTTTTTAAAGACATGCCAGACTTTACATATAGCCCTAATTACCCTTTGTTCAGATATACCAGGAGTGCATCTACCAGGGGTCCTAAAGAGGTGTTTTCCTCTGGATTACTCCCAAGCCCTGTATTAGTTTCTGTTGTAGAGCACACATTTTGTGACACATCAGCAAATATCATCCCCACAGCCAGCCCAGTTGTATTGGGAGGGTATTGCATGACAGACTTAGGTGGCTGTTTCCCTGAGGTTCAAAAATAGAGCAGTTTATTATTCATTTTTCAGTCCTTGAAAAGAGGAGGAGGAACACAAGCAAATGAAGCATGACCTTTTCCAGCCTCCAGTGGCTCAAATTCATATTTCAACACAAAATTAAAATATTATTTCTTCCATGGGGTCTTAAATGCATAAACCAGTGTGTTTATATGTTCACCTATATAATTTTGTCTGTCCATGTGTTCTTTAATTTCTGCATTTATATGTACTATGATGGCTTACCTACAGAAAAGGAGTAGTAAAACACAGAGTAAATGGAAGGACAAATTTAATGTAAATTAAGGTATTAGCATATTCAGGGATGCACGTTCAGCTCTTAGCATCAAGGGGTCTGTAAAAGAGCACATGCTTGCCTTTTCATTCTGCTGCAGTGTGGCCAAATTGGTAGCAAATGGAAAAATTAATTTATTGCATTTAAACAACTTCTTCCCTAAAAAGCATTGCTATAATCAGGAGAATTTACCATTCTCTAGCTTATGAGCGTTGGTCTTGCTCATCTTTCATGTCTCTTATCAGTCCTATAACAAAGAAGTCTCTGTAAATTATACCTTCTAGCTGTGACTTTTCAGAGACAATGAAAAAGAATGTGCTAATGCTGAAATTGTTATGGCACAGGATCAATGCAAGTGAGATATTTGGCATATTTCATTAAGCAGCTAGACATAAAAATAAAAGGGTGAAAAAAGTGGAAAAAAAATCCTAAGGCAATAGAAAAATAAAACATAGCTCCACTGGCCAGAATGTACCCAGTTGATCCACACCAGAACAGACCTCATCAAACACCAAATAGTGTGAAATGTAGAACTGATTTCAATTAATGTATCATGCTTTCTTTGCAGGAATATCAAATTGATATATTTTTTGCCCAGACATGGACAGACAGCCGTCTTCGCTTCAACAGCACCATGAAGATACTGACTCTGAACAGCAACATGGTTGGCTTGATCTGGATCCCAGACACGATATTTCGTAACTCAAAGACAGCAGAGGCTCACTGGATCACCACCCCAAACCAGCTCCTCCGCATATGGAATGATGGCAAGATCTTGTACACCCTCAGGTGAGCACTTGGCAAGGTGCAGGGCTGAAAGCTCCTCCCACATCTGGTGTAGTAGTAGTAATTTTCAGCAATATCTTTGCTCTCTTCTCCTGTTTTCTTCCTGATTCTCACATGGCCATGCTTTGCAAATATTTAATTATTCAGGCATATGTACTGCCAAGTTTAAAAAAACCAAGTCTTGTCTTTATACAAAAGCAACCTTGAGAAATGGGAAATAAGTCTGTCTAAATTATACAAGCTGGGCTTTTTAGTGTTTGCAATAAAATTGAGAATATGTAGTCCCATAAAACCTGTCAAAAGCCTTTTTGATTGGAGTTAGATGCAGGGCTGGATAAAGCATTTTTAGATTCAGGCTAATGCCAATACTTGATTCTTCAAATAAGTCATGCTGAAATATAGTCTGTCACATCTCATCACAAGGGTGAATTGCTGGAGGAAAGGCTTTTACAGTTTTCTAATCTTTGTGATAAAATCAACTGTATGGTATAAGAAATACTGTATATATTTGCATTTTAAAAAGCCTGTGGAAATCAAAATATGTGTTTACTTGTGGAAGAGATGAGTTGTTCAGAAGGGATTTTTGCCATAAGCCATGTTCCATAAGGGAAACTGTTTTAGAGACATACCTTTCACGCTACATTTTCTTCTGTAATTGTGTTCAGCCCTCTTGGTGCACCTGAGAGGGCTGATCATGCTTGCAACTGCTGTTTGGCTCCAATACAAAGTCTTTGGAAAACAATAAGAAAGGAAATAAACATCTGGAAAATCTGTTGATATTTTTAGTGCCCTTTACTTCTTAGGCTTGTTCTACTGTGAAAAGCTCCTTCTTATTTCAGTTGCCTTTAGCTAAAGAGTTTGGGGATTAAGGTGTCAGCTCAAATATTCTCTTGGTTGGGTTATTGTTTTTTTTTTCTCAAGAGATTTTAATTATGTGTTTTGTTGTTTTTTTTTTCTATTAAGTTCTGTTTCAGTATTTCAGGCCAAGTGTCTATGTAATAGTAGTTAGACTTACATACCTCTCACTATTGTTTGTTGAATGGATTACAAAATTTGTCAAAACCAGCTAAAAGTAAGTTAATACTTGACCCATTGGAATGGACATTTTTAGTATGTGAAAGATGTTTTGAGTTCTTTTTGATCACTCAGGTTGACCTCCTTTATACATGGGAAAAGTTGTTAGGATGATCATTGTTCGCACTGGGTAATTAAAACCAAATTTGTCTGACCTAAATGTCAAGATTGGTATGACATGGAAGACGTAGCTAGTGTATGCCCTGGTGTTGTGTGTACAGAAGGAAGGGTACAAGGTTCAGTCATGCTCCATACCTCTTCGTCTTCTTCCCTGCCCCTTTTAGGGTGTGAATTCCCTCCTGCTGCAGCACTGCAAATCCTCTTCTAGTGGCAGTGCAATAAGGCTATTAAATTCCTCACAGGTGACCTTTCCCAAGACAGTTTTCCTCTGTGTCATTCTATATCTGAGACACAAACCTTTCACTGTAGAGTTTTTTAATTTTTTTATTTAGTTTCCAAAAGGAAAAACCCACACAACACCACATGAATTACATCATTAAACTGTGTTGTATTTTTTTTTTAAAGACTGTACAATAAACTAGCACTTAATTCAATTTACCTGAGTAAGTACATTCACTTTGTAAGCTATTAGACTAAAGAGTATTGATTTTTTAGTAGTAATTTCAAAATTGGCCGTGTTCTTAGTATACTTTATTTTAGGGATGTCATGTAAAACCAGCTTTCAAGTAGGGATGATGATGTTTCTGCTGTTCTGTTTGTTGCATCTGTACGATACAGAATGGCATATAGAGATTTATTAAGTTTTGGAGAGAAAGCCTGAAGAAATTGAAAGAATTTTAAATTCACACTATAAGTACACATGGTGAATATTTTTATAAGTTTCCCTCTGAAGTTCAAATTTTGTGGAATTGCATACAACACAAGCCATATTTCCTGTTATTTTTGTACAGAATGATTGTTTTCATCCCTTAACCTTTGATTATAAATTGCCTGAAGAAACACATGCACAGAATTCCTAGGATCCAGAAAGTCTTGATGATGTCTTTATGGATATCAAAGTATTCTTGCATGATGCTTAAGGTTACCCTGCTTCCTCCTCTGGCTGCTCCTGTACTGGCACATAGTAACAGACCTTGGTTTCTTCATAGGCTTACCATCAATGCTGAGTGCCAGCTGCAGCTGCACAACTTTCCCATGGATGAACACTCCTGTCCTCTGATATTCTCCAGCTGTAAGTGCTTCTTTGATGCCTTATTCCTGTGTATGATTCTTATCCAGGGGCATGAGTTTAATTCTGATTTCTCTCAGGTTGGTCAATTGTTCCATAAGTATAAGAAGTTCAGGTTTGCTTAAATATTTAGGGAATTTTTGTTATCCTCTCTTGCACTTCTGATCAATCGACTTATGATATGAAGTCCCCTGCAGATTTACTCTGTTATTTTATTAGAATTGGACTTTTTAGCTGATACCATACTCACAAACTCAGCAGATATTCCTACCAGTCTGTGCAATGTTAATTTATACAATCACTTGACATTGCAAATGAGAATTGAAACTACAGTTTTCTGGTGGAGGTGCACAGTATGGGGACATGCCCAGCGATCTCTGAACATCTGAGTTTATAGCACGTAGCCTGGTAATGCCTCTCTGTTTCATAGTAAAAGTAAATGGTGCAGCTACTGTAAATCTCATTTTCCTTTTATTGCTCAGCTTTGCCAGCAGTCCCAATGTTGTGTTTTATGTTGTGTTGCTGGCATATTTAAAACCTTCCTAACAGACAAGACAAATACATGGGGAAATGTATGGAAAACAAAAGCAGGTGAGTTAATTCTGGGGTCCAATATTACTCTGAGAAGTTATCTTCATACTGATTCATTTAAAAAACTCTGAGAGCTGTCTGCTCATAGTTTTGAAAACATTTTTAAAAGGGTCTCCACAAAAGATTTTAATCTTGACAATCTGTAAGACTCAGGATATGTGTTCTTTAGAAAGTGAAAGGAAAGTGTATAATTTTTTCTATTTAGAAACAAGATTATATCCCTAATCCCTTTTAGAGTGATAGAAGAATAACACTATTGAATATTTTCATAATAAATATGCTATTGTGATGGTATATACTTCTGTTTATAAATATTATACAAACAGTGATCCACAACCACAAAACAGATTTGAATTTCTGACCCAGAATGTATTTTTCTTTTTACCCAGGAATTTTCTTTTTTTAAAAATCAGTCACATAAATATCTTCCTTTCCTCCAAAATTCTATCACTATGTTGCTGTTTTTTTGTAAGTATAAGTGAATCTGTGCAGAAACAGTTGTCTGTTTAATTCGGGTGTGTGTAATAGATGCATATTCAGCTGAACAAGAGGCAAATAGCTCCTTTCTGCTTATGAACACTTGTCACTGAGCTCTATGCACTTCAGCTGTCTTAGTTACTACATAAAACTGTTCTAGTGGCAATCTACTGTTGTTTTGTTGAACTGCTGGGAAAGATTTGTGAACTTAAAATCAAATTCTAGACATTTAAGGAAACCTACTAAGATTTTGGTTGAAGTCCAAAGATTAAACCACATAAATTTGAGTGGTCCTGTGATAGCAATATTCAAAGAAAGTGAACTCTAATAAACAGGAAGTCACTTCAAACCTTGCATTCCCTAATAGCTAGACAGTTGCTAAATGGAAGTAAATTATGCTCTATGGTTTTTATTGAAAGAGAGAGGATATCAGTCAGTACTTCAGCAGGCTCTGCTCCATGGCAAAGTTCCAAATACATTTTGTATTGCAAATGTTCCTCCTAATTTTGATATATTAGCTCATAACACTTATGAACTTGGAATGTACATGTATTGCCATCAGATATGTACTAATGTCTATGGAGGTGGAGATTATATAGGATGAAACAGAATGTGAATGTGTTGCAGTTTTTGTGTGTACTCTTTGTAGTTTCTTGCCAGATGGAGGATGCTGTAGAGGAATGTTAAAATAATATTTTATAGTTTGTTCAACCTTTTTGGTCATGTTGACAACAAGGGTTTATTTCTTTAGATTCACACTGAATTTTTCCCCTTGAACAGTTTTAATGCTGCTATTACCATCATACAGGGCATCTCCTGTATGATTAGTTTGTTATGTAACTCGCATTTTCAGTCTTCAGCATTCACAGCAGTCTCTAGCTAGATGGCACTCAGTGAGACTCGGGAAGTGAATGACTGACTGAATGCATGAATGATTTATTGCTGCCTTCTATGACAAGTTTCTGAAGGGACAAGCTGATTAGGGATTCCAAGATGTATGTCTTTGGATAAAATAATAACCTTTGTAGAATTCACAGCTCTCCCCCTTCATTCCTTCTGTTTGTTCCTCAGCACACAGACAAATCTTTGTAGTTTCCATTGTAGGCAGGTATAAAGAAGCAAAAGTTTCAGGAAATATTTCATACAGCGGTACACACAGAGGAAGTTTAATATTTGAAATTTCTGACTTTTTATTTAAATTTCCCTTGATATTTCAAAAATATGAAAATCATCTTAAATTTTTTCTAGAATATTTACCTCTAGTGCCAGCTAATTTGCACCCTAACCCTTTTGTTACTCTGGGGACAGTTGATGTTCCCTCAGTGGGTATACTGAGTTCTACTTCATCTGGTTGCCAGGATGAATAAGGAGAAAACAATGGCTTATAAAAAGAACCCATCTCAGTGTGCTAACAGTAGTTAACACCCGCCCCTTCCTGTAGAGAATCTTGTTCAAGATTAAATTCATAGAGCTCTCTGGTTTCTTTTATAGGATTTTAAATGTATTGACATAATCTGAAGCTCCTCAGCCTGTGGAGCTTTTGTACGTGGGGTGACATGATGGGGTGACTCCTCTGGCATATCAGGCCTTGTGGTCAGTGTGTGTCTGTAGTTGCTGTTATTATGTAGATGTGCACTCAGCACACTGCTCATGTGAAAAGTTGATCCGAGTAACAAAATCAGGGCTGCTGTGCCACGTGACAGTTTGTGTCTGTTCCATGCACCAGATTGGTTTGATGAACCACATGTGCCAAGCAGGATTTCTCCCTAACGAGCTACAGCAAGGCATGGTATGAATGTGCATTTCCCTGTAAATGTGAAAAAAGAATCAGTGCTGTGACTTGATTGCAGTGGAGCAATCTTGGATAGATTTTGCTCGATATGATCACTCTTTCTTAATATGGTTTTGAAGTACTATATGCAGCTATGTAAAAAATATTCTGTCACTGTCATTCTTCATTTGGGTTAATTTATCCTCCTGAGCCAAGGGAGGCTGCTGTGCTGCTATTGGCACTCAAATAGCACATTAAACTGTCTTGGTTATCTCTATTCAGCATTAATTTGAACATTTTGGAAATACTTTCAGGATACTACCATAAAATTTAGTTTATTGAAGTAGTTAGGATTCACATAAACTTCAGGAAGGAAGAGATGTTCTGTCTGAAGGATGATATCAGCACAAGAACAAATGAAAAAGACACAAACAACCAAAGGCAAACTGGGAATGAAAAGTTAAGCACATTAATTGTGGAATATCTGTAGGGAACTGTGGGTGCTCAAATATTATAACAACTCAAAAGTGTTTGAACAGAGCACTGGAACAACAGTGCACTGGGAGCTATCAAGCATAACAAGATGACTCTATAGTAATGGACACTACTTTTTTTATTCTGATGGATAAGATCATTATAGATTAAAGATCAGGAAAAAGGGGCTGTATGGCTAAGCTACTTGAAAGAACTCTTCAGCATTAGAGTTATCATGTGACTGTTTTCTAGATTTCTTACATGGTTTTAGTTTTCCTTTCTCAGTCACTGGTGAGACTGATGAATGTTCTGGATTTTCTTAACTTGGGAGGACTAAGCATGCTGTAAAATAATGTGAGAATGTTCACACCCAAAGCTGTGTAACAGTTAATTGTTTGAGGTCTTCATTTTTTTCAGACCAGCAGAAACCTCCTCTCCCCATACATGTGTTCAAGATTAACTTGACACTCCTTCAGGTGACAGCCTCTGAAAGTCATTACACCTTGTTTTGACCGTCTGGTCAACTAACTTTTTAGTTATGTCCAAGGAGATTTGTGGTGGAAATGTGTGCTAGCTGCATACCTGAGGTCTGAAACAAACTGTAAGGGCATGCCTGGGGCTTTACCAGATGTAGTAATACTGAGCTGCAGTGCCAGATGCCAGAAAATTTTTTTAAAAGTGACCATATTGATTAATGAGTTTTCACTGGTTTATTTTTCTTGCTGCTGTTCTGAGCAAACTGCAGATATAGTTGTTCATTTTTAAAGGCATCTTTGGCTTGGACAACAGGAATTAGGGCATGCTTTGTAGGCAATTGCTGAGAGTTAGTGAGAAGGTCTAGTGTCCTGAGCCACCCATTGTTGGAGGATTGTTGCAAGACAGGAAAAGCTGGGCATGCCCAGAATGCCATTCTTATTGCAAACACCAAAATACATATACAATGGTTCACAAAGAATTCAATTACTTTTAATTCATTTAAAATAGGAGAAAGCAAGATTTCCAACTATTGGTGGTTCAGTTTGTTCAGTCAGGACTTAAACCAAATATTTTTTGTCTTTAAAATGTTAGAGTTGTTTTGGTTTTTTTTTAAAGTGACGTACAAAAGCATGGCAAGTATTATAGGGGAAAAAAAAAAAAGAAGGAAGTGTGCAGTGCTTTCAAAAGAAATTTATCCAAATCTAACATACTGCTTGAAAGGAACATATTCCATTTTTCTAAATATAAACTCAGTTCAATCAAATGTTCCCCCTTTGAACATGAAACCTCTTATGGATATGCAATCAGTACTTTGAGCCTTGTATCATTAATTTCTAACACAACTAGCTGTCATCACCCATTTTAATATGTTTCTCCTAGCCTAGAAAAGTAATTGCTGGTTTTGTGGAATGAGCTGTGCTTTGTTTCATCTCCTTTGTCATCAGCAGAGTCATTAATACAGTCTGAGGGCAGAAATTTACTTTTGATGAAGAACAGGCCAGAAGGAGCACAGCTTAATGTTCATATCTCAAGAGGAGTTTCATTAAAGATGCTGGCATTGTAATGTGCAGAAAGAGCTTTAATCCAGATCTGAATTTCCATCTGTTCTTTCGGCAATGGGCTGAGCCAGATCGTGGGGCACCAATGGAATTCTTGAACCAGTTTTTGTGATGAGCATATTTTAGATATTGTTGCTTTTTCCTCTTCTAGGAAG